CTCGATCCCAGGACCCTGGGATCATGACCTGAGCCGAAGGCAGTCGCTTAACCAACTGAGCCACCCAGGCGCCCCGAGGCTGACTACTTTTTTTAATGTGTATGGGTCATATGGGTATTTCAGGTATGTGTGTGTATGCGTGAGTTGCCTATGTATGTGGAGTCCCTATTTAAACATTTTGGCCATTTTCAAAAGATGGATTGTCTGTCTTTGTCTTATTGATTTGTAGGAGTTCATCTTATGTTTTGGTTAGGAGTTATTTAAGAACTGTATGTATTGCAAATATCTTCCCCAGTCTGAGACTTTCCTTTTCACTCTCCTAATGATATAATTTGATAAACAGATGCTCTTCATGAAATACAATGTGCCCATCTTTTATTTTATGATAGTGCTTTTTGTGTTCTCCATAATAAAATCTTTCCCACTTTGGGTCTCTTCTAGGGTTTTAAAACAGAATAGTGTGGGAGCGATGTTTAAAGACGGTCCTTTGTACATTTGAAATGGCCCTTGGACAAAGATGGTTGACGCATGACAATAAAATAGTTCCCCTTATGAGAGCCCAACCCATCCCTTCAGGCCTTGCTCAAATTCCCGTTCCTTCGTGAGATGGCTGCCAACCGGCTTCCCCCTCTGCTCCTTTCAGTAAGCACTCAGCTGAGTTAATCCCATCTGTTGGTAACTTTTTAGAAAGACTATAGGCCGAATTGCGCTCTTCCACAATCACCACTCAAAAATAGCTCAGACGGACAACACAGAAATTATACTACACGGACAAAGAGTCATTCACCAGGTATATTTGAAGTCTAAGCTCTTTGAGCTGTACACGTGCACAAATGATTCGGTTGGTGGAAATCTCCCCCTTCCCCTCCATATTTAAACTTTTCAAACTGAAAGTAGTGCTAAAGAGGTTTGCATAAGGTGCGTCATGGAAATGCTGAGGCAATTCTGACTGTCACAGTGCAGAGAGGGCCCCCTGACACCAAGGGCTCCCCGTTGCTTACTGCTCTCCTGGGAAAAGTTCCTCTTTCCCTCTCCCCAAACCCAACCTAATGAAAGAACTACTTGACCTGAGACAGATTAACATGGAAACGTCGCAATAAACTTCACCGAGACTAACCACTTAGGTCATCCACTCCACTGTGTTTTTATTTTGTGACTACACAGGATGGTCATTTTAACTTTGGCTAAATTTGGCTGGAAATGACTGATGGTATCTGCTTTAAAACACTTACGAAATTATTTCCAAATATGTTTTCCTCATCCATATTTCTTTAGAACCTGCATCCTGAAAACTCTGAGTAGCTTAAAAAGTCAAACGACCCCCAGAAGACTGCGAAGAGGTTCAGCACAAAATGGCTGAAGGCGGCCGTTCTCCGTCAGTCTCAAGAGCTCAGAAAATATTTCTTCCACTAGAGGGCAGCATTCCTCCACTTTTAAGTCTAATCTTCCATTCGCTAATGAAAAACCAAAAACCTCCGCAGCAAAGTCAAGTCAAAGCATTTGCTTTTTATACACTCCTCAGATTTTATTTTTAAAAGAAGCCTGCATTTCTTCTCATGGAAACTCAGGGTTTTACAAGCAGCGCTGTCCTCAGTTTCACCTGTGTCCAGTACGATATTGCTTTATTCACAGTAGAACGGACTTTTTAATTTCTGAGTGATCAGTCTGTTTTAAGTTTCTGATGAAACTAACATACACCTTAGTCAAAAACCACAACAATCCTTCCATAAGATGGCTGTGTTATCGTTCTCGCGTGTTTTTCTGAGGCTTGGGTAATGAAAGTATTTCCCCACTCCCTGGTAACTGGCGTTTGCATCTAAAGTAATTCATTAATGTACAGCAGGAGATGAGGCCTTGCACATATAGCAGAAGGTAATGGTTTTATAGGTGTATCTTCGGTAATGCACTTCGGGCTACAGAAATAGAAATATCACATGTGACGAAAACAAATGTTTTTGAGCAACATGGCCATTGCATGAGTAGGATTGGTATACGTTTGTTGATCTACCATCCTTTCCTTTTTCAAACACTCAGTGGCCGCTACATTCTGGCGATCTAGCTGCATCCAAATTGTCTACGACGGACACTTGCCTCTTCACTTTATTTGGAAACAAGTGTTCTTGATAGCAAAGATGTTGGCTAATCATTTACATATTGGCATGAGAAGTTTTGTGCCCTTCCAAAATTCAGCATTATCCATAATAGAGCATAATATTATCAGATTATCTGTATTAGTATATGAACGCATTCATAAGCAATGCACGTGTTATGTTTTTAAGCAGCTAAACAATCACTAAATAAAAAACATCCAGATTTTAAAAGCACAGCTGAAACATTTGTACAAATATACAAAGAGAAAAAACAATCATTCAGACACCATGAAACTTTTGTAATAAATAGGTTTGTCTGAAATCGGTCTCTATCACCCTGGACAAGCCTCCCCCGTGAGTCTGGGAAAGTACTCTACGGAAGTGGTGTTCAAAATCTACGGAGGAATATCTTTGGGGCCAAGCTCAGTGTTGCCTCCAGGAATTTTAATAGAGCTATGAAGTATTGACTCAAAATAGTGGATATACCCAGACTTGTTGAGCTGGATGATGCTGATAATTTTTCTAGTCTAGATAGGACATGGCTGGATGCTGACAATCTGTGAGTTATAGTATATCCTCGAATCATGAAAATAAATGCTGGTGATCATGCATGTCCTGGGAATGTTGGGATGCAAAGGACTGAGTGAGACCAGATAGGGATATCTCATGCAGTCAAAGTCAAGTTTACTTATGGTCCTACTTAAGTGGCCAGGAAGAAACAACGCACACACGTCAGGACTGGGACTGAAACAGATCACAAACAACACGAGTGCTATTTGTTACTGATGTCTCTGGCTTGGATCAACATGGGAGAATGAAGATATAGGCTGTGCTGATACTTTAATAAGAAAATACTACCTTTTCTCCCTAGAACCTTCTAAATAATGGATTATTACTCAATGGGTATGATATGATCAGGAAACTTATCACCTTTTCCTAGCCCTTTTGTCCGAGAGGCTTGATTACAAGGAAGGAATCTCAAACAACCAAACACCCAGGGATTGAAAGGCAATTATTTTTTTTTTTTTCGACAAACAAACAACAGAGGGCAAGAAAGCATGATAAAGAGGAGACAGATATTATCGTTGAGGCGGAGCGGTGAGCTCAGTTGGACACGGAGGGTGGCAGGCCGGGACGCCGGGTTTGGATGATTTTTGGCTTTGGGGAAGTCTTTGGATCCTCTTCTTCCTCTATGTCACTGTCGCACACGTGCACGACGACACTTGGGGTGGACTCAGTTCCTGCATGGAGCTCATACTTCTCTCCTGAAAGGCAAGAAAAAGGGGGATGATAAAGGGGAAGGGAGCTCAAAGCAGATTCTTTGGCAACGTTTGTTCTGGAAGTAAGGAGAACATTTTACAGGGTCTCAGGAAACCCGGGTGTAATCCAGGAATGGCACGGGGCATCGCAAAATGGAGTGAGACTGCTCGGTCACTGTATCTCTACCACCTATCAACCGGACAACCTGCAACGGGCCACTCACTCTCTCGCAGCCTCAGCATCCTCAACTGTAAACTTCAACACGGTCACAGCGACAGCCCATGGGGTCGTGGTGATGACTGAGTGGGTCTGGCAGCTAGTTCTCGGTTTCTCTTCTGTTTCCCATCATCGTTGCTAATTGCTGAGTGACCTTGGGCCAACAGCTTCACTTCTTCACCTTCTCCCCAGGGCAGTCTCTGAAGTCTCCTCCAGCCGCACACTTTAGTAGTAAGAGCTGCCCCAGGATGGACTAAGGCAGGATCATCACTTGTCCGGGATTTGCGGTGGCTACTGGGTGACGGGGGTTAGATGACTGTCAAGGTCCCTTCAAGTTCCAAGAGTCTGTCCTTCTTGACTGGCTCATCTTACAGCCAAATGGCTGTTAGCTGGCTGGCTTCCTGTCTTTGTTTCACTTCAGGAGGTATTTACTGAGCATTCTCCATGGTCTGGCCTATTGCTGTGATAAAGGCTACACGCACACTAAAAAACATTTGTGTCTACCGCAAGAGCACAGCCCAGTGGCCGCATGTGGAAACAGGAAGTATTACAAAATACCACGGTAAGCGCTAGCGTGGCAATAGATGTCAAGGAGTATGGCACCAAATTGTAAGGAGAAAGTAACACTGAAAGGCTTCCCAGTGGAGGTGAAATTCACTTAGGTCTAAAAGACAAGTAGAAGACCTCCGGGTGGTCAGGCAGGAGGAGGGGGCATTCTCCATCTGCATGCTTTTAACTTCTCAACTTAACTGTTGACATACTCATCTTAACCTTCTCCTGACATCCCACCCTTCACTCCCCATCCTTCACAAATGGGGAAAATCTAAAAGCAGTGTCTCCCAGACATCCTCCTGGTCAGTGGCTTTCCAGGTCTCACCAGATCAAATCCTCGTTTCTCAGACTAGGACAGAAGACCCTGCACAATCTCTTACCAGTCACGACAGCCACATCCTCGTACCTACTGATAAAGGAAATTTTTGACTTTAATGTTTGTGGGCTCTGCTCCTGGTCTCCCAGGGAAGCTATCCTTTAACATTTACCAAGGCCAAAATGACTCAGCAAAACCTCAAAGCATGGGCTGTATTTCTGCCCTGAGCACACATTGTAAGTAGGCTTCGTTAAAAAACAAACAAACAGAGGAAACCAAAAAGGAGCATTCCAAACGTAAACATAAGAAAAACAAAAAACACCTCCCTGATTCCCATAAGATTAAGGTCAGACAGCCTTGCACATACTAAAAGCTTAAGATAAAATCTGTAACTATCTGGAATGTCCTTTCCTGTGATGCCTTGCAACTCCTTTTTTTTTTTTTTTTAAGATTTTATTTATTTGAGAGAGAGAGAACGAGCAGGTGGGGAGTGGCAGAAGCTCCCCACTGAACAGGGAGCCCGACTTGGGGCTCGATCCCAGGACCCTGAGATCACCACCTGAGCCAAAGGCAGACGCTTAACGGACTGAGCCATCCAGGCGCCCCTAATTTCTTTTTTTTAATTTTTGTTTTTTAATCCGCTCAGTTTTCGGTACTTGGTTTTGTGGCAGGCCTAGCAAACTAATATAGCCATGTGCTGCTAAGAGTGTTCTCTTTCTGTGAAGAGTCAGAGAAGTCCTTGTTGGACCGCCTTTGACATCCTGGTGTGCAGAGCAAAGGCTTTCCTGGGTGAGGGCAGGGATATTTCACAAAAATGGAGTGTTTCAGCTCCAGGATTTTGCTGGATATTGGCAGTAGTCAAGAAGGACAGAACTAGCCAGAGCCATAGAAATATGGCTCATAAAGACCCTGCAATTTAAAGTCTAGATTTGGCGAACTTGTAGGTAGAGAGAATTGTGGCAGCAAGTATGAAATCTCTGGCATAAGTGGACCAGTTTGGATTCAGCAGAGGACAGTGACAAAACCAGGGGACACGGAGCAGAACCAGGAAAGAGACACCTGCCTGAGTCATCGGAGCTCCGCTTTGCTTCCCTGATCCCCTCTGAAGTCCTTCCAAGGCCTATGCTCACGGCTGTGGTGGACCTAGCAACGCTATTTACAGCTCATTCAATTGTGTTCCGTTCTCCTTTAAAGCATTTTGTCCCGTTTATCAAAATCTCGAGGGAAAAGAACCGCTTCAGCTATTGCCAAGGAGCGGAATCTATGGGACACCAGCTCTTGCATAAAAGGCGCCGGGCCCTGGCTGGGCAGAGACCTGGTTGGCGGCATCTTTGAGCAGCGTGTTCTCAAACTCCTGACAGCTTACTGGAGGTGCTTGTTAAAATCAGAATTTACTGGGGGCGCTCCTGAGTGGCTCAGTTGGTGGAACGTCGGATTCTGGATTTCGGCTTGGGTCATGATCTCAGGGTGGTGAGATCGAGCCCCATGTCCGACTCTGCGCTGGGCAGGGAGCCTGCTTAAGATTCTCTCTCTCCCTCTCCCGCTGCACCCCCCCGAAATAAATGAATGAATGAATGAATAAATAATAGAGTGTATTCGTATGAGGCTGCAACACTGCAAATTCTGACTTGGTGACATCTCCTTTGGAACCCAGCGCCACCCCCCTGCCACGCGCTTCCCTATGTTTCAGGGCGGCCGGTGTTACACGGGTTTGTGTGGCCGGCAGGGGGCTGCAATCCTGCTAGGGCGCTGGCCTGCACCTAACCTGCCTCCTCCCTCCCTCCATTCTGCACTGTCAATTTTTCACGGGAAAGGGCCAACAGCGCAGGTCAAGGGCAGAGGTAGGGACGCTGAGGACGCAGGACGGAAAAGCAGCAAGGGCTCCGTATCAGCCCCACAGCCACCCCCAGCCAGCAGCACGATTTCATCGGTGGTCTTCTTTCTCATCTGTTTCTGGGACAGCAACAAGCCCCTCGAAGTTCCACAGCAAACGGTGATGAGTTCATCGTATCCGCGGTTTCCAAAATGTTCTCTTTCCTTTGGGAATGCCTTGCAATTCTGAAGGAGAGACGCCCTCCAACAAGAGACGGAGAAAGAGAGTAAACACACGGTGAGGTCATTCTTGTTGCGAAAGGGATTTCTTCGAAGTTCTCCCGGTTTAGAGAGGAAACCGGAGTGGCTGCTGGAGCCCGGCGCCTTGCTGGGTGTGATGCAGGGTGAGGTGGTGGTGGTCTCGGGACGACAGGAGAGAATCTGCCATCACCCAGCGAGCCTGCAGATGGTGGGGCCGGGGGCGGGGTGAAGGGGGGGGCGGCGGGGACCCCAGCCAGGGGGCTGACCAGACACCCTGCCCCTTTCCTCATCTGTCGGCAAGAAGCTAGTTGCTAGCTTTATATATATATTTATATTTATGTTTATATTGTAGTAAAATATACTTCATGAAGCTAGCCTTTTAATTAAGCCATTTGTTCGCCCTGGCTTGGATAAAGAACATTGCCTTAAAGATACCTCTAGTTGCGGGCGCCTGGGTGGCTCAGTTGGTTAAGCGACTGCCTTCGGCTCAGGTCATGATCCTGGAGTCCCGGGATCGAGTCCCGCATCGAGTCTCGCATCGGGCT